TAAAGAAGCCATTGCAAGCAGAGATAATTTGGTCGCTTTTCATTTATCAGGAGAGACATTCAGAGAGTATTGAAATGCCATTCCAACCATAAAAACATGCTGCATTTTTTCCCTCTTTTAATTCCATTCTGACTTACAGCTTACTTTTTTTAACATACCAACCTTCATCTGTAATTTGATAGGAAAGATAAAATTCAAGCAATGTCAGCATTTTAATGTTATTATCACCTGAAAGTACTGGACCACTTTAAAAAAATGTTTGGGTTTGGCAGGCGCTATTGAGGCATGTGGTCTGTGCCTTTCTGTCTAAGCTGAAAGTGACAGTGGAAGATTCTCCCTTTTCAACTTGGTATCTTGTCTACAAATCTCTATCATTCTCCATTGCTGCTTAATTTTGACTAAAACTCTTCAGAGTGTTCCTCAGAAAGAAGTGTCACCAGAGATCCAGGTTCATTTTTTAATACTTGACTAGCGTCTGTCGATAATGGTAGTCTGCAAGAGACGTCATACTGAATAAAAACAAAATATCTGTGTGAATTGTTGGTGTTCAATCTGTGTGGAGGTTAGGAATCTTTTCTGAACTTGGTCAGATAGTGCTTGTTTTCTGATACACGCTACCCATATTAACTTGCTCATCCCTTGTATTTTGTACAATCAAGCCATCTGGATTGAAATGTTGTTGATGATGATTGTAAGTATTCCTGTTGATATAAGATACGTGTTGTCAAGCCAGCTGAAAAGAAAGAAATGGATATTAGGGCTTTGCAAAAACGCATTGCCACAAATGGGTAGAGTGCTAAAACGTTGAAGTGCAGAGGCAGCTGCAGCCTCTGAAAGGCTTGATGTAGCAGAGGTAATAGTATGTGGGAATGACCTTGGGAATCTGGGGGAAGAGCCGCAGCCAGGGCAATGGTTGGATAAGAGGCAGCTGAGCCCGTAGAAGGAATCTGGGCATGGCAAACGTCTCAGAAGGGACCCTCCCTAGTTTCTTTGGCTGTAAAGACAACAGGGAAGAAATGTACTTTCAGACTTGCAGGATTCTGTTAATATAACCTTATCATAAAGTAGATTTAGTTCATCTGGGTGTGCTTCTGGTCTGGACTACCTCGCAAGGCTGGCAGCATATTTGAAGTTTTTCTGCTCACGCATGTGCGTCCACAAACTTCCGCTGAATTGCTAATGAAGCAAAAGGCTGTGCCTGCATCTGCATATTGAAAGGATCTGAAAAAAACTTGAAGCTCCTATACCAGGCTTTGAAGAGGGGCAGTTTGCTTCTCACCAATATCTCCTTAAAGCTTTGCACAGCCCTGAAAGGTGTGACCTGCATTAAGTATGTGTCTAATCCATTTTAATTTCTATTTTATTTCAGGCTCTGCTTGATACTCAGAACCTTCTGAGAGGTCAAATAACAAATTTTACTTTCAATCTGGGATTTTCAGGGAAATTTTACCACACAGGTAAAAGACCATTGTAAAATTACTCTCTATCCTTGCACTGCATATAATTGGAATTTGTTTTAGGTGCTATAAAACAAAATGAAATGAAGGAAAAGAAAATAACTTTTGGGAGCCTGAAGAAAAAAATGAAATTTTCCTTCAGCTGAATAAAACTAGAAAAATCAATAAACTCTTCCTTATGTACAATGTTGTGTTTAACTGTGGGACTGTTGTATTATCCACAGGAATGTCATAAGTTTGGCATTCTGGCAATATAGTCATGGTGCTATTTCATGGACCATGTTTAAGCAGTTTGCGTGGATGACAATAGTGTAGTCATCTACACTAGCAAATAGTAGGGAATTACATTGGAAATGTCTCAAACATTTGATCTGAGGAAAAGAAAGAAAGAAAATACTTGACATCTGAGATTCCTAAATTGGGACTCACTAACCTGATGCCCTGCAGATATGTTAAACTTACTAACACACATGAGCCATGCTGAAAAATGTTTTGAGCAATTAACGTAATGTACTGTATCTGCATGGCATGAAGCTTAGGAAAGCTTATTTGTACTGAAAAATTGACCCAATAGGTACACTTAGGAGGTCTCATAGAAATTCTGTTCCTTGACTTTTTTCTTAAACTTTGTTCAGTAAAAGCACAGGACTTACAAAGAATCGATACAAGTGGTATTACTAATACAGGGTAACTTCATAATTCTTTCAGTGCAGTCCTGCTGGCAACTAAAAGCAGTTTTTCAGCTTTTGGTATTCCACCAAGTTTTTCTTATTCATCTAGGGTTGTCTATTTTAGTTCCACATTCATCTATCAAGATTATATTATGGAAAAAAAAGTCTGTTTGGATGTGCTGTCATAACATCAACAATTTACAGTGCTTATGATGAGAAGTGCATAAAGTAGTTAATTAATTTATATTATACATAGAATACAGACAAGATTTTAGCCTCTTAGGGAGCTCAGAAATTGTACGTCTACGTAATTATCTCAGAATGTATCTCTTTATGTTGTCTCATCCCTGAAGTGACCATATTGTTCAGTGATGAAGTCATTGGTTTTAATGAACTACTAAAATCTAATGATCCCGGGCAGGCTGCTATATCAGTTTGGCTGCCTGAACTGCCATTTCCTTTCTGAACAGCCTATGACAGTGTTGTCCAAACTTGGCCACTCTAAGATGAGTGGACTTCAACTCCCAGAATTCCCCAGCCAGCCAAGTCCACTTATCTTAAAGTGGTCAAGTTTGGACAACACTGGCCTATGAGGAATGATAAGACTGGGAACAGATAGCATTTAAGATACAGACTACTCTATATGTAAAATGATGTGTGTTGAAGGCTGCAGGAAATCAGGGCATGTGATTTCAATGTTTTGTGCAAGTTTTCAGTACTAAGCAGAGTAAATTAAACAATAAGCATGTAATAAATAGGACAATTTCACCCATTAAAGCTTAAGAATATAGCAATTATATACAGCTGAGGCACATAGTGATTTACTCTGAGAAGGCATTTCAACTTGTAAATTAACCAATAGACCTCAAGTTAAACTCAGCCCATTCACCTCTTTGCTCTGCTGCAAAGTGGCCTGTTCAGAAGCTGCTTTTGGTATCCAGGTTTAAGTGATATCATCACTCCAATCTCTCTTTTTGACAGGAAGCATCACTTCAGTCTTGAAGAAAGGATGCTAGTTTGATCAAAAAAAGCTTTCTTGAAGGAAAATATCCAAATGAAAATCTTTATAGCCCTAATACATAGGACCCTTTTATATTAGTACTTAGCAAGTCTAAAATCAGGCTTTTGTGTTAAAACTATAAAAGTATAAAACTTTGTCCATTCATACTCTGACCAATAATAAGCTTTGTTTTATGTATATAACAACTTGGGGGGGGGGGAGTGTATGTATGTATGTGTGTGTGTGTGTGTGTGTGTATATATATACTGTGTGTGTGTGTGTATATATATATATATATTATACACAAGATATATAAGATATCTATCTATCTATCTATCTATCTATCTATCTATCTATCTATCTAATCTATCCATCTATCCATCTATCTATCTATCT